TTTTTTTTAATTTTTATTTATTCATTCATTTAATGTGACCAGAGAGACAGAGAGAGAGGGAGAGAAAGTGGGAAAGTAAGCCACCAGGTCCAGGACTTGAACCATGGTTGGCCATGTGGGAGTGCCCAGCGCCTTAACCACCGTGCCACTTGCTGGTCCCGCCCAGCGTGAGTTTTAAGCCACCGGGTTCAGGACTCAAACCGTGGTCGGCTAAGTGGGAATCCAGCAACATAGCCATTACGCTAACTGCTGGTCCCAGGAACTGGTACGTTTTGAAATAATGCTTTGCTGTATTCATACTCTTCCATTGCTGATATGAGCGTTTATGTTTTTAAGATATATTACCGAAGAAGATTCTAGCTAGTAAATACCTGAAAATGCTTAAGGAAGAGAAGAGGGAAGATGAGGATGACGACAATGACGGCCATGACGAAGCTGAATCCTAAGCCAGGGACGTGCTCAGGGATGAGCCTGTGGGCCCCTCCGGGCGGCAGTGGGCTTGAGTGAGCACAGCTGCGCCCCTGGGCCTCTCTCCTTTTCAGACTCCCAGCGCACCAATTCCTTGCTGGCTAAGAGGGAGCGTCTTGTGCACCTGCCCATGAAGAACCCAAAGAAAGTAGGCCAGACTGGCCCTCTGACGGCGCCCAGCGCCCTGCACCCTGCACCCTGCACCCAAGCTCCTGGGCACCTGTGCAGCAGCTCTGAGGCAGCCCGAGCTGGAGCGGCAGGCACTCCAGTTTACCAACACATTTTGAAGAGCTTCTAAGCATCACTTGTAAATTCATATATGTGTATTTTGAAATTAGTTTCTGTAAACAAGACTGTAATTTATAGGAATATGTTATATTTGAATTTTTATGCTGTGGGAAATTTGACCATTGTTCAAATTTTTTTTTTTAACTATAAAGAAATATGCTTTCCTTTTCTGTTGAAGATCTGTACGTATTTTTACAGTAAAACGCTTTGTGGAACTGGTTTGTGAGCCTTCTGTTCCAGTGCCTCGCTTCCTACCTGAGAGTTTGTGAAATTTAAAAATAAGCATTTCTGAGCCAGCTCCTTGGTGCTGCTGAAGAGAAGCCACACCCCACAAGGCAGCGTGCTCGAGCGCCAGCCTTGTCAGTCTGAAACACGCGGGACACGTGCAAGCGCCTGAGGCCCTACGGAAGGGATCTGGAGTAGGGGCCTCGCGGCGTGACCAGACCCTGTGGGGGCTGTTCGTCTTCGTCTCTTTCTCCTGCACACTATCCTGCACGAAGAAAAGGAATGAAAAACTAAGTAAGTATCTCTAATACTTTTACTGAGAGAAAAATGTTATCAAATCAGATACAAAACAGTTATTTCTACATAAGCATTGCTCTTACTTTTTTTTCTTGTGTTTAAATTTTTAGTGATTATTTTTACTGTCTATGAGATCATAAGTGCTCATTTTTTTCCCCATGTAGGGTAAACATTCAGTTGTCTTCTTAGTATCTCTTCTTTTAAAAGACGTTATGATTTATATCCAATAAAATCGTGATAGTTTAATCTTTGAATTTTCAAAATGAGTACTTTGTCACCAGTCCGTGCACACACCACACCCGAGTCCCTGTGCCCTCTCATAGTTATTTCCTTCCCCACCCAACCACTGATAAAACTTATTTTAAAATATTCAAAACACGGGACCCAGCAGTTACTGTAATGGCTGTGTCGCTGAACTCCCATGTAGTCAACCGCAGTTCGAGTCCTGGAACTGGTGGCTTAAACTCACGCCAGGTGCGTGTGCGTGTGTGCCCAAGATCCCAAGAGGAGAATGGAGGAGAAGGGATTGCGGCGTGGGCATCTCCCCTGGAGGGTGATTTCTCGCTTTCTGTCTCTCTGGTGAGTGCATACACCCTATAGCAAAAACCTCAGGCAGCATGGTGGTTAAGGGTGCTGGACTCCCACATGGATGACCATGGTTTGAGTCCCGGACCTGCCTGGTGGCTTGTGCGTGCTCTCTCTCTCTCGCTCTCTCTGTCTCTTCCTGGTGAGTCCACATGCCCTACAACACATTTAAAAACAAAATAGTAATAAAATTTTTTTAAAAACCCTCTTTAGGAAACAGGGTCTCCTCACTGTGAGGTAGACCCTCCCCTTGGCCTCCAAGGTCCTTGACGCCGACCTCGGCCCCACTGCTTTCCTGAGCAACCTCTCTCCCTGCTCATTCGGCTCCGGGTCCATGGGCTCACAGACACCCACCGCGTGTGCTCCGACCAGGGCGCCTTTCCTCACCCGTGTTCACTCATGGCGACCGCGAGGGGACACAGGCCACGAGTGAGAGCGCTGCTGTGCCCCCCGTGGCTTTTGGGTACTTCAGCCTGGACTAGCATGCCCCAGGGTCCGTGGGGACAAAGACGTGGTTTGGGATTCTGAGGGCAAGGACAGGGTTCTAGACACAGTAAGGAACAACAGGTGGTGTGGCGTGGCGGTGAAGGCAGCTGGATCCCACCTCGCCAACTGGGTAGTTGGTGTGTAGAACCCGGCGGCTTGAAAAGCACTGGTGTGTGTGCATGTGCGCGCCCTGACCCTGAGAGCAGAACGGAAGAGGGAAGCCGCGTGGCCGCCCCCCGGCCCAGGTGCGCTCTCTGTCCCTGTCCTGCTTGCTCTCTGCCTCCCCAGGGCGTGCGCGTGCTGGCTGGCTCACCGGTCCCATGGGCTCCCTGCGCGGTGGTCACCCAGACTGGCCAGCTGCAGGAACACTCCGGCGCGTGTGTGCAGGGAGAGCTGGGGTGGGGGCTGCAGTGACCATGCTCATGGAGCGCTCTCTCCTCCCCATCTCCTGGGCGGGCGCGAGCACCTGAAGCACAGCAACAAAGAGACCAGAACGCTAATTACTACAGGGCATTTAAAGTTCTCGTTTCTCTGATTCTTCATTTCGTCTGATGAATACATACTGTTCCTCAAAGCCAGAAAACGGCTTTACACAAGGACAAAACCTGGGCCTGCTTTCCACTAGGAGAGCCCATTCTCGGCTCTCGGTCACCGTCTCTATGTAAGCCCTCCTTTCCTTCCTCAGCATCACGAGGTCTTTTCTGTACAGACGGCAGCGTCCAAAAGTGCAGCAGGCCACCAAGGGTGTCAGTGCCGGTGTGTGTAAGCCCCACCAGGGCAGAGGGGCCTGCGGTACCCACAATGCGGAGTTCGGGCCCTCCTTGCACGTGACTGGGCCCAGCACAGTGGCTTGCCACTCCTCCCGGCAGCTGCTGGAGCAGCTCCGTCACTCTCCCAGACACCCCCCTTCTCAGTTCACACTAGCTCTGCCAGGCACACCCTCCGAGGCACAGCAGTGCCCTGCAGGCATGCTTTCACGCGAGAAGGCCGAGTTCAAGCAAATGCAAATGTAATCAAAGCACCAAGGATGAGGCAGCTGTAAATAGGAGGAATTTTATTTTATTTTTTTTGCTGACATACTATGAGGCAAAACAAAATTGACACCATACAAAATAACTTTATAAAATATCATTCACATCATATGTCATCAGATTTACAGCATTCTGTGCATGTTAGGGGTTATGTAAAGGGGTGAGAAAACACTAGGCCAGACTCTCAGTATTAGTTTATATACACACAGTAAGGAACAAAGGAGGAACTGTTAGGTTTCCATGGGTTTATTGCAAAAATAGTGCAAACTACTTAACCTAGAAAGCTGTAAAAACAAACTTTAAAGGACCCGGCTAAGCTTAAACACGACGATAGCTGCTCAGTGTCTTGCTGTTAGCTTTCTTGTCCATCAAACCACGCCCTGTCTGCTCATTTGGGGGTGAGCGCTGAGGGTGAGGAAACGTGAAGGCTGCTGGGTCTTTGGAGACCGGGTTGGCTGGGCTGCCAATGTCAGCAATACCTTTAGGATCATGCTACTTACTCAACGGCGATTTGGGAAAATACTCAGATGCCACATTGACAGCTTTGAGCTAAGAAGCAGTTTCTGCGACCTCTTGGTGACATGGAGAAAGGAATGGAGAAAGCAGCATGAACAGAAAGGATCCTGAACATTCCTGTCTGCTTATAAACATAGTATCCTTTTCCTCCTGGTGGGCTTGGGTAAAGTGTTACTCTGAAGTGGGCAATCTTTGAAGCAGACATTGCAGTAAATTTAAAAAGAAAAGGATACTGTATCTCCACATGAGTAACTTCAATTCTTTCCACAATCTATTGGGGTCCAAAAAGCATATATCGAAACAAAACAATAAAAGCAAAATAAAATGCTACATGTAAAAGCTAAAGAAACAAAATGCAGCATATTCAGGTTCTTTTTCTTGAGGTACCTATATAAATTTAATCACCTGCCCCAAAGTACTCTTGTTAGGTTAAAAACAAAACACTGCTGGGCCAATCGCAGGGCATTTATTATCACGGAGAAAGTGCAACAACGCCAACTTTATACGCAGCATACTAGAGGATGATTTACTCTTTATAAAATATAGCTTAAGTAGTAACCTGATGGAAGTCAAAAAATTAAAAACATTTAAGTAGAATCATTTTAAATTTTTTGAGATCCTGCAGCCAAAAAAAAAAAAAAAAAGTCTTCCAAATCAATTTGTGAAATTTTGCCACTAAGGAATATTGGTCTCTTGTAAAATTCAGAGATCTCTGTAAAATAGTAAAACTATATACTACAGGAGAGATCCCTAATTGTTTATTATTGGTATAAAATCAAATTCTTCAGACTCCAAAATATTGTGTTGCCTCCAAAGAGTGAAGTAAAAAAAGATCACCATAGTAGGAAAAGTCTAGAAGTGTAAACCTCCAAATAGAAAAGCACAGAAAGCCATCGGTCTCCTACCCTTACCTATCGGGAAGCTCTCCGAGCTCTGAGGCCGCCAGCTGCCGTGAGTACAGCTCGCCCCCTTCCCTGTCCACAGTCACTAGCACCTCTACCAGGTAGGTCAGTCCAGAGAGATGGAATCGACAACATTCCAGCTGCTGCTTATGAAATAAACTCTTAGAAAATATGCCAGTGGAAGAGGGGCATGAGTGAGTGAAAAGCAATGATAGGAGAACTTGATGTGTGTTTTGTTTTGTTTTTGACCACCCCTTCATTGGCACAGAAAACGAAGTGACAGCTACAAATATCTGCATAGAAGAGTCTGGAACTTATCGTCTGTAAAAGGGGAAGTTTGCTCCTGGACATTAGATTTGTTTTCTTCTCACAAGAAGGCAGTAGGGATCCTAATACACCATAGCACTTGGCAGGGGGGTACGTCAGATTCCACGGCCAGTTGGGCTTTTCTCCCCACCTGTAATCTAAAACTTAATTCATACGCATTTTTTTAATGCATTAGAGTTTAACATAAAAGGCACAAAATAAATAAAAATACTAAATAAACAAATGATTATTTCAAGTTTCACATGGAGTTGTAGCTCAGTTTGGTTACTTTTTCCAATTTAATTTGACAGACTTAGTAAATAGCACCCAACTGTTTAACTGAGGTAGATCCACATTGTAAAGAAAGCTGGGTCCCCTCCATTTTCACTCTAAATTGAAGATGCTTTTACAAGAACAAAAATCCATTTGAATCATATGCAGAAGTGGTGACAGGTGGCACTACCTGAAGAAAGCCTAGAACTTGAGCAGGTTTGCGAATGAGGCCTATGTCCAAATTTCACTCTCTATTACCCATAAAGAAACCTCAGACTGGAGGGAAGAGAAAAGCAAACATTTAGAAAATAACCCTGAAAAAGCCTTGACTTTCAGAACAGGTCTCTTAACCAACTGCCGCAGAAACGCACACTGGTCCATACCTCAAGCGATGGTAACAGCCAGACCAGGCCGCAGAGACTGAAGGGGGGTACCACTGAATGCGCCCCATTCCGACTCCAGAGAAAAGACATGCCGAGTTCTGATCTAGGGTCTTGATGGGGACAGTTTAAGCTCACTCTGCCTGACGTTTTTGCATACTCTGAAACTTACGAATTTAACATCTGATTAAGGCTTAAGTTAAAGTGGCATCACCACCGAGCGTCATGCGAGCGTCTGACATCCTCGAGACACACAGACCGTGGGACGGAACTAAAGACAACGACATAGAGCCTCAGAGCTGTGGTTAGCAGGTACTATAATTGGATCATCCATTTTACAATCCACATAGCAAACGAGACATTATACAGAGAGGCCACCGCATATAACCACAGTTTACACAGGAGTGGTCAGTGTACAAACAGCACTGCTTGGTTCCTACACCACGAGCACAAGACACGGTCACAAACCCGCTGCACAGGTGTAGACGCGCCCAGACGGTGCAGAGCACCACCTGGAGCGAGGCCCTCGTAGCTGCTCGACTGTTAGAAAACAGTAAACTCTAAATGGTCATAATACATTTTGATTCAAAATGTCCTCTACAATGTCTTATTGTGGGGGCACATTGGGAGGGGCGGGACCCACCTATGGAACTTCTGATTTCATTTTTGGTTCTTTTTCAATTATTTTATAAAAATAAAATAAAACTAGAAAAATTGATAAAACTAAGGGTTAAAACCCCTCAATACATATTAGGTAAATAATCTGAAATGTACCAGAGGTCAGAAAAATCTGGATTACTACATTCTCTTCTTGCATTTCATGAGTCATCAGCCACTTTGCTGCACAGAAACGTACAATTATTCTCTTAAAACTTCTTAAAAAATAAAAGCTCACTTGCCTCTAGCTATAAAACATTACCCACCTGCGGTGACCACATTAACACTCACTATCCAACCCAGGGCTCGGTGCAGCGCGGTGCTCAACCCCAGGCTGCAGGATTTGAGTTGTGGCCACCTGGCCTGGAAGGGCAGCCAAGACATCACC